CCTGGTTGTTCTGGAGCTGTGCAGAGGCCGCTGGGGCCGGGGACTGCACAGTTGGGGTAGATGCGGTCTACGCAGGGGCCTCAAGAGGTGCAGAGGTCTGCGCAGGTGCTGACTGGACGGGGGTTGAGGACCGCTGGGGGGAGCTGTGGGCTGCGGAGATCTGAACCGCAGGCTGCGTCAAGGGTTTTGCCGCTGCGGGGTCCGGCTTTGCGGCCTTCTCCTGGGGGAAGTCGTCTGCGTCGTCCTCCGCATCTTCGTCCTCGTGGGCGCTCTCGGCTGCGGCTTCGTGCTCCACATCCCGCTCGTCCAGCTCGTTGTCGTCGTCGTCGAGGGGACCCGCGCCCTCCTCTGCCCCCTGGTCCTGGGCTTCGGTGGGCTGGTCCCCGTTGACAGGGCAGGGAGTTTCCTTGGGCCGCCAAGCCGTCCTGGATGATCTTCTGCAGGCTGGCGCCTTCGGGGAGGGCTAGAGCGGCGGCGAACGTCTTGAACGCCTCAGTGTTCTTGTTGAGGGCGTCCGCCACGTCCTGCGCCGTCGGCTTCTTGACCTTGGTGACCTTGGGGGGCTCTGCCTTGCGCCGCTCCACGTAGGCGCGCTGGGCGGCGTCCGCCCTGTCGATCCAGGCGAGAACCCGGTCCACCTGCTTTTCGTCCTGCATCGGCTTGTGAAGGCAGTCCAGGGCGATCATGACCTTGTCCACCTTGCCCACACTGTCCGCCCGCGACTTCTTCTTGCCCTTGCCCTCGCTGGGGATGCGGCGGTTGCCAATGCAAAGGGTGGCGCCGAGCTTCCGCTTCTTCCACCTGGCGGTCTTCTTCTAGAAGTTGGGGAGGTGCTCGGGGTCGTGGATGTAGTGGGTCTTGCTCCAGGGGTGGAGGCAGTCCAGAGTGGTTCTCACCTTCCGATCTGTGGGATCGTACTTCCGCAGCTTTTCCGTCTTCTCCCGGAAGGCGGCCAGCTTGGAAGAGGTGCGGCCGACGTGCTCGGAGGTGAGCTCGTCGTCGGTTTCTGCAGAGCGGTAGGAAGAGGTTGAGCTGTCTGTCCCTGTGGTTTCTGACTCCGTGGGGGTCATTGACTCACTGGGCTCCAGCTCCGAGGAATCCTCCTTGCTAGTCTAATCTTCTGACGGGGAATAAAGCTCCCCGGACTCAGTGGGCTCGCTAATGTCATCCGTTGCAGTGAGCTCCTCTGAGAAATCCTCTGAGTCAGAGCCAGTTCTTGACGGAGACTCTTCTTCACTTGTCCCTATTGCGGTATTGTTCTGCGCACTTGTGTTAACAAGCTCCGGCTCTGACACATCGATGATGTTATTCTGCTCAGCCACAGGCATTGCAACCAACATGGGCGCCTGCGGTGATACGTCCATCCCCTGGCTCAGAATCGTGGGGACATCCTGTTGGCTGATGCTAGCAACATTGTCCTGCGGGTTTTGAAACTGCCCACCTTCTGAGTCAGACTTGTGCGTTTCCTGCACGCGCTGCGGCGAGTTGCCTGCATTTGTGTGGCGCAGGTTGCGAGCCACCCGCTCTGCCGTCCCACTGCCCGCTGCTGCCGCCATAGTTCGAGGCCGCTGTGGAGATAGGACGTGGCGAGGGGGGCTGTGCTCTGCCTCTGCTGGGAGATCCAACAGAGAAATGGCTGATGGGACAGCCATTTGAGTCAAGCTTTGGGGGCACTGCAGAGTGCCCCTTCCTGGCGAGATTGGTACTGCAGAGCCTAGCTGACTAGGCTTGGTGGCCATAGAAGGATCTTTTCAAGACGAATGG